TGAGACACCCAACACTAACCCTGCCCCTCCGCCGTGGGTTGCAAGTCCTGCTGCTGCTGCTGCTGCTGCTGCTGCTGCTGCTGCCGCTGCTGGTACTGCTGCTACTGGTACTGCTACTGCCGCTACTGCTGATACTGCTGCTGCTGATACTGCTGCTGCTGCTACTGCTTCTGGTACTGCTGCTACTGGTGCAGCTGCAGCAACAGGAGCAGCAGCAGCAAGAGCGAGAGGTGTAGCCAAATGTGCACACCCTTGCCGGATACTCTGTTTTAGGGTTTAGGGTTCCTCAGCTGCAACAGCAGCAACAAGAGGCATTTGCCCTGTGTGTCGCCCAAACCCTAAACCCTAAACCCTAAAATAGCGTATATGCTGGGACAAAAGCGCAGGAGCTGCTGCTGCGCAAAGTTAAAAAGACTTTTTGTTGGGTTTCATCTGCGGCTGCTGCTGCTGCTGCTGCTCCTGTCTTAAAATAGAAAGAAAATAAATGAAAATCTTCTAATTGCAAAGCAGCAGAATAAATAAACTCCGAAGTGGAAGGTGTACGTACAAGGCGTACGTACACCCCAAATACTCAACTAATAAATAATTTAAATTGTATTATTTTATTAGTTTACTATTATTCTTTTAATAATAATAATAATAATATAGTGATAATATAATAATATAATAATAAAATAATAATATTATAATATAATAATAATAGTAATAATAATAATGGAGTAATAAAGCAGAATAAAATAAGGGGAAAAAGGAATATAAGGATGCATTAAATGCATGCATTAAAGTACATTTAAATTAAATTACAAATAAACGAAACTTAATTTAAATTGCAAATAAATAAAATTTAATTTAATTTAATTTAGTTTAAATAAAATTATATTTTCTGAAAAAGAAAAATAAAAAGTACTTCTCCACTTTTTATTTTGGTCCCTCAAGTCTCCGACAACAAAAATAAAAAGAAGACCCCTCTGCAAACCCTAAACCCTAAACCCTAAACCCTAAACCCTAGCCGCAAAGGGCCGGCGGATGTGAGGGGCCGGTCTCTTTCCTGAGACCTAGGGTTTTGGGTTTAGGGTTTAGGGTTTAGGGTTTGGGTGTTTTGGGGCGGTTTTGTGTGGTTTTTTGGCGAAAAAAGTTCGTTCGAAAGCTGCGAGGGTTTAGGGTTTAGGGTTTAGGGTTTGGGGCGAGGGTTTAGGGTCTAAACCCTCGAAAATCACTTCGGAATTTGACTCACAGGCGCAGTTTCCAACAAGTGCCGCCGCACCTCCGCACCCAACTCCTCCCGCAGCCGCAGCTGCGGGTCCGCCTCGAACACTTCGGGGGGCACTTGGGTCTCTGGCCTCCAGCTGCGGGGGGCCTATAACAAAATAAATAAATAAATAAATAAATAAATAAATAAATAAATAAATAAATAAATAAATAAATAATAAATAATAAATAAATAAGCGCTATTTAGTGGCGTGAGTGGGAGCTGCGGCGGCGCGCGGCTTCGCGGTGAGCGCGCTGCAGCAGCAGCAGCAGCAGCAGCAGCAGCAGCAGCAGGAGCGAGAGGGGCGGCAGCAACGGCTCAAGCAGCAAGGGCATGCGCAGCAGCAGCAGAAACACCACCTCGAAAGGCAGCAGCAGAGCAACCCCAACAGCAGCAGCAGCAGCAACAGCTACAGCAGCAGCAGCAGCAACAGCTACAGCAGCAGCAGCAGCAGCAGCAGCAGCACCTGGGGCAGCTTGTAGTCTGCTGCTGCCTTGGGGAGCTCGTAGGAGCCCGGGGGGGCCTGCAGCACTTCGTCTCGAGCTTGCTGCAGCATCTTTTGTTCCTTTTTGAAAGCAGCAACAAATTCATTTCTGTCGAAGTACTCCAGGTCTTGGAAGTTCACTGCCAGCCCCTCGTCCACGGCTACTTGCGCCTTCTGAGCAGCAGCAGCAGCAGCAGCAGCAGCAGCAGCGGCAGCAGCAGCAGCAGCAGCAGCGAAAGCGGCAGCGGCAGGGAAGGCGGAGAAGGCTCAGCGCGGGCGTTTTAGCTGCTGCTGCTGCTGCTGCAGCAGCAGCAGCAGATGGGGAGGGGGAAAGGGAAAAGGGAATCTTTCGGTGCAGCAGCAGAATACTGAACCACTGCTGCAGCAGCTGCAGCAGCTGCAGCAGCACCAGCTGCCTTTGCTGCTGCTGCTGCTGCTGCTGCTGCTGCTGCTTCTTGCTGCTCTTCAGCGCAAATTCAGCAGCAGTGCTGCAGCAGCAGTGGCATCAGACACCTAACCACATTTCCCAAGTTTACAAATAAACAAAAAGACAACTAAACCCTACACCCCAAACCCTAAACCCCAAACCCTAAACCCCAAACCCTAAACCCCAAACCCTAAACCCTAAACCCCAAACCCTAAACCCTAAACCCTAAACCCCAAACCCTACTTTGGCAAGTTCGGGGTCGAATTCGGTGATGGCGTTTACATCTTCTTGTGTCAAGACAGCTCGGAATTGGGTGACGTGTTCCATTTCGAGGAGTTTCGAAACCGCCATAACTCCTGCAACAAAATAAATAAATGAATAAATAAAATAATTAATTAATTAATTAATTTAATTCAACTAATTAATTTAATTTGATTAATTCAATTTGTTTGTTTTTAGTTCTTCTGAGGGCTTGTGCGCAGAGGCTAGAAAAAGAAGCAGAGCTTTTGCTGCTTTGCTTCCCATTCTGCTGCTGCAGCAGCAGCAGCAGGTGCTGCTGCTGCTGCAGCTGCAGCTGCTGCTGCTGCGGCTGCAGCAGCACATGAGGGGTTAAGTGGAAAATAAATAGTTGAGAAGAAGCAAATTAAAGACAAGCTGTTGTTTAAAGAAATAAAAAGGAATTAATTGAATTGGCTTTTATTAATTGAATAATTCATTTCAATTTGTTCTGCTGCTGCTGCATCTTCTCCTGCTGCTGCATCTTCTGCTGCTGCTGCATCTTCTGCTGCTTCAAGCGCCCCAGAGCAGCAGCAGCAAGAAGCAGCAGCAGCAGCAAATTGAATTGTTTGTTGTTTATTATTTTAATTTGAAATCTTTTTGTTTATAATTTAATTCCTATTTTATTCTGTTGCTTCGCTGCTCGTTGATTTGCTGCACGAAGAATGGCTTTAAGTGTAAAGTCGTAGCAAGGAGCTGCTGCTGCTGCTGCTGCTGCAGCTGCTAAAGCCAAACTCAGTGGCAGTAGCTCCAACAGCGACAACAACAGCAGCAGCTGCAGCAACAGCAGCAGCATCAGCAGCAGCAGCAGCAAAGGTGCTGCAGCACCTGGGTGGCTGACGAAGGTGATCCTGTCTGCTTGATTGCCGAAAGAGACCAGCACATCGGGGACTTCTGTTTTGGGTGCTGCTGCTGCTGCTGCTGCAGTTGCTGCTGCTGCTGCAGCAGGGGGCCCACTCGGGGCCGCTGCCGCAGCCAGCCGCTGGACGGCTCGGAACATTCTAGCAGAAGATTAAAATTTGAAAATGAAAGTTCTGAAGAATTGGCATTTATAAAAGTCGAACCTGGGACTGAGGTGTCTATACACCTGGCGCTCGCCGCCTCGGGGCTGTAGTGACACCGCATGCGCCGCTGCAGCAGCAGAGGTCAAAAGAAGGAAAGAAAGGGGAAATTAAAACGGTTAATTGTTTTATTTCATTTTATTTATTTTATTTACTTTAATTAATTTTATTTTTTACTTTTAAAACTTAAAAATCCAAAATCCAACACGGTTTGCACAAGTGGCGGTGCAACAGCAAAACGTGAACACCAAAGAAAGCGAAGTTCACTTCACCGATCTTCGTTTGTTTTCTTTCATTTATTTATTTATTTATTTATTTATTTATTTAGTTTTGTTTTGTTTTGCTTTGTTTTCTTTCTGCATTTATTTGTTTCAAATTTGCGAACTCTGGAACACACAAGGATTCAAGAGCTGCACTTCTTCAAATGAATAAATAAATAAAAATAAACAAATAAATAAATAAAGATAATAAAATGAGTATAAATAAATAAACAAATAAGTACCTTTCTGAAAGCCAGTGGCCTGCAGCAATTTCATCTCCCTTTGGGTTTAGGGTTTAGGGTTTAGGGTTTAGGGTCTAGGGTTTAGGGTTTTGGGTTTTGGACGGGGGCTTTAGGGTTTAGGGTTTGGGACTCTACGCTTTAGGGCGTAGGGTTTCGGTCTCCGGGGTTTAGGGTTTAGGGTTTGGGACTTCATGGTTTAGAGCTTAGGGTCTGGGACTCGAGGGTTTAGGGTTTAGGGTTTAGGGTTTGGGGCTGGTGGCAGTCACTTCTGCAAAGGCAGCATCAACACAAAGATCAGAAAGAGGAAATTCAAAAGAAATTAAAATTAAATTAAATTTAAAAATAATAAATATATAATTGAATAAATAAATAAATAAATAAATTTGAATTTAAAAATAATAAAACCCAGAAGATCAAAAGAATCTTCAAAGGCAACTGGAAAAGGCGCTCAATAAATAAAAGTAAACAAAAAAATGAAAATAAAGAAAGAAAGAAATATAATTCTTTAAAAGCAGCTTTTTATGAAATGATTTATTTTTAAATTCTTGAAATACATGTAAATAGAATTTAATTCATTGTTTATTATAAATGGGAAGTTGCAGTTTTCTTTTGTTCGTTATCTCAAAAGAAATTTTAGAAAAATCCGATTTTGTTTGGAAAATTAAAAAATAAACTTTTCAGAAATATGTGCAAAAGAAAAGAGAAAATAAATTAAAAAGATTTGTTCTTTTCTTTTGCATGCATTTCTGAAAAGTTTATTTCTTTATTTTAGAAACGAAATTGGATTTATATTTAATGCAAACGATGAAATAAATGAAAACAAAAAAGAAATCTTTTGATTTAAAAGCCAAAACGAAAAGTCCGAAGAGTTGCATTTGGTGTGCAGGTTGGGGTGTACGTACACCTGACGCCCAGGGGACAAATGACACTTTTTATTTTTTTTAATTTTTAATTTGTTTTATTTATTTATTTTTTATTTACTTTATTTTCTTTTCATTTTTTATTTATTTTCTCTTCTTCTTCTTTTTGGGCTTTGACAGTTTCCAAAAGAGACTTCAGAAACGCCGAAAGAGATGGAATGGAACTCTGAAAGAAAACAATTATTCTTCTTTGTTTTGTTTTTGTTATTTTTACTTTAAATTAATAATAGTAATAATACATAGTAATAATAATAATAATAATAATAGTTGTAAGTAAACATAAATAAATAAAAATAAACACAAATATAAGTAAATGAATTACTTTTAAGATAATTCGAGCTGCTGCTCACGAGCGCTTTAATTCTTTTCAAATTTATTTTTAATTTCATTAATGGCATTTCAATTTACTAATGGCATTTTAATTCGTTAATGGCATCTTTAGTATTATTATAATTGATTTAATTTGCATGCATTGCTTTGAATTGAAACAACATTATTTCTTTTCATTTATTTAAATTTATTTTATTACGATTGACGCAACTTAAATTTGTCTTCAATTTAAAAGCATTAAAGTCTCATCAAAATTAAAACTTTTCAAAATTCAAATTAACCTTTATTTTATCTTTGTTTATTATTTAATTAAATTGAATTAAACTAAATTTAATTCAATTTAATTGATTTAATTTAATTTAATTTAATTTGATTAATTTATTTTATTGTATTTACTTTATTTTAATTTCTCACCAATCCCGAGACAGCGCCGTAAGCGAGAAAAGGAAGTTTGCGCAGAGTCCGTCCCGAAACTCCTTCGCAGTTTTCGATTATTTCTTTCATCAATTTATCATTCCTGAACAATTGAAATAATCAAAACAACTCTTCGTTTAGTTCTGCTGCTGCTGCTGCTGCTGCTGCTGCTGCTGCTGCTGCAGTTAGTTGCTGCTCACTCGCTGGCTTCTGGGCCCTGCAGCAGAGAGAAGCGAAAGATTGAGAAATGTATTCTTCGAAAACTCATTTGAACTTTTGATTTAAATGCAAATTAAATCATACTTGCTGCATGCAAGAGCCCAGTTGAATGCGAATCATTTAAACGAACCATTTGAATTAAAATTGAATTAAAATTAAATTAAAATTGAATTAAAATTGAATTAAAATTAAATTAAAATTGAAATTTATAACTCACCGGGGGAAAGGAGAATCTCGTGTGGGATCCCGGCTCGACGAGTTTCGTGCGGATCTGAAAAGTGGAAAGCGGCATTAAAAGAGTTGAAATGCATGCAAGAAGTGGAATAAACAAAAGTGAAATAGTTTTACATTTAAAAGCTTTTAAAAGTAAATAAATAAATAAATAAATAATAAAACTCACCAACTCTTCAATGCAGCTTTCCAGAATTGCAAATCTGCAATTTGAATTCGGGCAAGGAATGTGCAGCTTGAGATCCGCGCGATCCAGGAAGGCCGGATCGCAGCTTTCTGAGGGAAACGAAATCAAAATTGAATTGAAATGAATTAAATTGAATTAAATTGAATTAAATTAAATTAAAATGATTATTTTAATTCAAAATTCATTTTGTTTTCGTCAGAAGTGTTCCATTCGAAGCAGCGCGACTTTTGCAAAAGCTGAATCGGCGGAAAGCTCTTGAAACGGAGCCGCCGCGGATCCCTTTTGAATATTTTGAAGATTTTAAATTCAAAAGAGTTCAAACTTTATTTATTTTGAAATAATTAAAGAGAAATGAACAAAAAATGCCCTTCATCCCTCAGATCGCGGAAGAGGAAGCACAGCGCGGGACGAAGCCCAGAACAAAAGCAGACAAAAAGCGAAAAGAAAAGCAAAATAAAACGGAACAAAGAGAAAAGAAAAGCAAAATAAAGCGGAATAAAGGGAAAAGAAAGGCAAAATAAAGCGGAATAAGAACTCTTGAACTCCGCTCACCTGCCAAGTTCGAAGTCGTGAGAATCAGCCCGTTTGGACTTCGGCTGAAAAGGTCCATTTGAGTGAGAAGGGCATTTACGGCGCGGGCGGCGTCGGAGGGCTCGGGTGTCTTTGCTGCTGCAGCGCGAGCAGCAGCAAGAGACTCGACTTCGTCGATCAAAACGAACAAAAAGGAACTTTGCTGCTGCATGCGCTGCAGCAGCAACTCGAACACGCGAACCACCACCTTCCCCGACTCTCCAAACCAGCGAGAAAACAGAAAAGAAGAATTCAAAGACACAAAAAGAAAACTTCCGAAGTTGCGGCTGAGACGAATTGCCAGGCGCTGCCCCAGGGCTTTGCACAAAGAAGTTTTTCCTGAAACAAACCATCCAAAGTGTTTTCCAATTCCAAAATCCACAATTTCTAGTCTCAACCTTCAACGCAGTGCCTCGCTGCTGCTGCTGCTGCTGCTGCTGCAGTTCTCTGCGTGCAGCAGCGCCGTCGAAGCACCAGCAGCAGCAGCAGCAGCAGCAGCAGCAGCAGCAGTTTGCTCACCGCTTCCAGGGGGCCCGTGCAGCAGCAGGACTCGGTTCCAGGTGATGAGCTGCAGCAGCAGAAGATTGGAAGTTTAGAATTGGAATTTGAAAAAGAGTTGGAGAAAGAATTATTTGAAAGTTGAATTTGAAATGATGAAAATGAAATCCCACTTTTGAGTCGACGCTTTTGTCCGCGAAAAGCAGCGCTGTGGAGGCGTAGTCAAGAAGAGTGTCTTTGGTGTTTTGGGAGAAGTGCAAGTTGGCCCAAAGACCCTCAAAGTCCTCATTTGGCAGCAGCCACTGCTGAAACACTTTTCCACTTTCTTCTTCACTTCCCAAGTCCAGGGGGCCCCCCTGGAGGGGCCCCTCGTGCAGCAGGTAGGGCAGCACGGCGAAGCGCGCCTGGCAGTACGGAAACAGCAGCGGCGCCGCTTCCGTCGAGCTGCTGCTGCTGCTGCTGCTGCTGCTGGCGAAGGCCGCGGAAAACGGCCCGCCGCCCCCGCCCGAAGCAGCAGGCAGCAGCAGCGGGCTGCACCGCGGCTTCAGGGGCTCTATTCGAATGGACCTGCAGCAGCGGGCCAGCAGCGGAACGCCCACGCGCTGCGGATCGTGGCCCCCCAGGGCCACCGTCAGCCCCGATGAGCCCAGCCAGCAGTTTGCTGCGTCAATTATTTTCGAAAAATGCTCTTTTGCGGAAATCTTGCAGCTGATTTCGCAGCAGAAGTCCACCTTCGGCACTTTCGTGCAGGGGATGTCCCGCACGCTCGACGCAGCCGTGCTCGCGCGACTCGCCGCAATCGGAGTGGGAAACTCCATTTATAATTGCAATACAACAAAATAAAAAATGAATTCGCCCCAAATTTCCAATTATTCCCCAAAGTCTTCGCAGAAAGACGAAGATTCAACTTCGAGGCTGCGCGCCGGCGCGCAGCTGTACGTACACCTCAGATCGCGCAGCGAACAAGCACTGCTTTCCACGAACAAAAAATGGCCGCTAAAAAAGAGGAAACTGATCATAAAGCTTGGGAAACTTGAATAAACACTCGAAATCTTTGCCAGGCAGATCAAAAACATGAATTTGAATCCTTTTTCCGTTCTTTTTTGCCGTTTCCCCATTCTGCGAAACCCTTAAATGCGTTTTCGTCTTTTTGCTGAATCCCCTTTTTGCAGAAACCGCCAATTGGTGGCCGAAACTAAAGGCAAAGGCCGCAGCCCGTTGCTGAACTTTTGCATGCACGCATGCAGCAGCATTAGAAACTAAATGAAGCTTTCTTTTCTTTTTTGAATTGAAGTTCAGTAGCTCAAAGCAGATCTGAAATAGCAGCTGAGGGAAAGCTCTCAGTGCAACTGACACTTGAACACGGAATGCGGGGGCTTAGTGGCGTTAAAAAGCTCGTCTAAAACATTAAAAGTATTCTTTTCTTTTATTTTATTTAATTGTATTTACTTGTATTTAATTTGAATGAGCTTTCCCGCTTCGTTCCTGCTGCTGGCTCGGCGCTGCAGCGGCTCGTTTGTGCGCAGGACTTGCGAATGCAAGGTGCGGAAAGCCGAGGGCCTCGGGAAACTCGAAAAGGATTGATCGCGTGAGAATTTAATTTCAAAATAATAAAAATAAACAAAAGATGAAATTCTAAAAATAAACAACTGCAGCAAACCGGGCTTTGTCCTGACATTGAACTTGGGAATGCAGCAGTAGCGCCTCGCGGCGAGCAGCAGCTGCGCAGGTACGTGCAAGTCTGCAGCTGATCCGGGCTCCTCTTTGCAAAACTCGAATTTAAATGCAAATAATAATTGAATTTTAATTTATTTAATTAAATTAAAAACAAAAATCCCGGAAGAATCCCGCAAACCGGGCGAACCGGACCTCCGCCGACAGCCCAACCGCGTGCAGCGGCGCCTCTCACGAGGGCGCCGACGACGAGCGGCCTGGGGCTTGTCTGCGGCGTTCTGCTGCGGTTTCTCGAATTAAAAACGCAAAATAAATACATTTTAAACAAAAATAAAGTTTGTTTTTGTCTGAATGAAAGCAGATCGGCCTAGATCAGCAGCAGCAGCGGCCCCCTGTGCCTAACCACTGGTGCGCGCGGGAAGCAAGGAGTCCCGCCAGAGCCGCCAGATTCATCGCATTTTCAAGTCCAAACGAATGAAATAACAAATAAAACAAATAAATTAAATAAACACGCAAAACAAACAAATGAAATAACCAACTTTTACCCAACTAGCGACTCCAGCTCGCTCTTCGGCCGCGGCAGCAATGTTTCTTAGCCCATTTGTCCTGCTGCCCAGCCTGCTCTTGGCGAAAACAGGAGCCAAGTTCGTTTTTGCTGCGGACTTGGAGGCAGACAATGCAGTTGGTGGGTCCCCAGCAGCAGCAGCAGCAGCAGCAGCGTTCTAGCTGCTGCAGCAGCAGCGCAGGCTGC